GGAAGCCAGCCACCGCCCCGTGATGGAAGCCCGCCACCACACTTGAATAAACGTCTACTGCCACCCCGTAATGGAAGCCCACCCCCCCCTCGTGATGGAAGCCCACCTCAACCCCGTGATGGAAGCCCTCCACCACCCCGTGATGGAAGCCCACCACCACCCCGTGATGGAAGCCCTCCACCACAATTGAATAAACGTCTACTGCCACCCCGTAATGGAAGCCAACCACCCCCTCGTGATGGAAGCCCACCTCCACCTCGTGATGGAAGCCCACCTCCACCCCGTGATGGAAGACCACCACCACCCCGTGACGGAAGCCCGCCACCACCCCGTGATGGAAGCCCGCCACCACAATTGAATAAACGTCTACTGCCAACCCGTAATGGAAGCCCACCACCCCCTCGTGATGGACGCCCACCTCCACCTCGTTATGGAAGCCCACCTCCACCCAGTGATGGAAGCCCACCTCCACCTCGTGATGGAAGCCCACCTCCACCCCGTGATGGAAGCCCACCACCACCCCGTGATGGAAGCCCTCCACCACAATTGAATAAACGTCTACTCCCACCCCGTAATCGAAGCCCACCACCCCCTCGTGATGGAAGCCCACCTCCACCTCGTGTTGGAAGCCCACCACCACCTCGTGATGGAAGCCCACCTCCACCCCGTGATGGAAGCCAGCCACCACCCCGTGATGGAAGCCCGCCACCACAATTGAATAAACGTCTACTGCCACCCCGTAATGGAAGCCCACCACCCCCTCGTGATGGAAGCCCACCTCCANNNNCCGTGATGGAAGCCCACCACCCTCCCGTGATGGAAGGCCTCCACCACCCCGTGATGGAAGCCCACCACCCCCCCGTGATGGAAGCCCACCTCCACCTCGTGATGGAAGCCCACCTCCACCCCGTGATGGAAACCCACCTCCACCCCATGATGGAAGCCCACCACCAACCCGTGACGGAAGCCCGCCACCACCCCGTGATGGAAGCCCTCCACCACAATTGAATAAACGTGTACTGCCACCCCGTAATGGAAGCCCACCACCCCCACGTGATGGAAGCCCACCTCCACCTCGTGATGGAAGCCCACCTCCACCTCGTGATGGAAGCCCACCACCAGCCCTTGATGGAAGCCCACCACCAGCCCGTGATGGTATCTCTCCTCCTCCCTTTGGGAGACGCCCACCCCCAGGCCCTCCACGTCGACAATAAAGCTGAGCACTCATGTGTCCTTTTCTAACTAAGATATGCTATATCTTTTCTACGCAATAATTTTAACAAAAAGTGTTGCAAAAAAAAAAAACAAAAAAAAAACAAGAGTTCAAGTGCAATTATTAAATACGTTCGTGTATTAATGTGATTGAAACGTTTTCAATCAGCTCCATTTGAAGCGCAAGCGTGGAAAGGGGGGGGGGGGGGCATCTTTCACAATAAAGGAGAAATGATCAGCAAAAAGGTGAAAAGTGGCCCTGTGTGATTTGAAGTCAAAACATATGTCATCAAATTGATCCTGTAGATGTGCAATGGCATCGGTATAGTCACTACTGAAAGTTTTGCCCGAATCCATGAGTACTTTTCATGTTGGGAAATGGCAGAGGTTTTTTTCTAGGAACCATAACACAAGTTTTGTGCAGAATGCCCTGACATTGTCATAGGCAACACTGACAAGTTGCTTTTGGTCTTGTTACTTCTTGTTGAGTACATGCAGCCCCAGTGGAAGTCCATGAGCAATTTGGGATTTGGGATTACTTGGTACAGGAAAAACCACCCCTTCCTTCTCCATGAAGGCTTCAAATGCTAAAATGTGTTCAGACAGTAGGCAAGAGCAGGGAATATTGATTAATTATTGATGTGAAGGAAGATGCTATGGTAGGGAGAATAAATTTTGATTTTTTAATCGTAGAAAAGGAATTTTTGACTAACCCTATTTGGAATGGAACCAAGCTGACAAACTCGTTAACAGTAGGGGCAATTTTAATAAGGATTATTTGATATTGTGTCAGATTGATACAATTTACACAATTATGTTTGTGAATTATCCACTAACTGACTTTTTAAACTTTTCTCAAAACCGCACTTTGGCCATGTTTGTCTCATAAAATGCTATAAAATAAAAGAAACTTTCAGTGCTGTTTTCAAACGTCTGTACCATTATAATCAACGTCCTAATCTATACAATCACAATACAAATAAAAATTAGGCTAGTCGCTGAGCTTCGACTGAAACCGTCGCGGAGGGACATATTATAAATATTATGAGAATGAGGAAAACTTGCGGGCCGCATTACAGTAAAGTTTGCTGTCGTATAGTCGGCCACCAAATATCGTCTTGCAGGCCGCAAATGGCCAGCGGGCCGAGAGTTTGAGACCCCTTGCCTTATACAAAACGGGTGCAATAACAATTATTTTTAAAAAAAAATAATATTTTAAATGGCATAAATGGCCAAAGTCAGGCACATGGCTACTGTTAATGGCTCAGTCAGGCAAATGGCTACTGTTAATGGCTCAGTCAGGCACATGGCTACTGTTAATGGCTCAGTCAGGCACATGGCTACTGTTAATGGCTCAGTCAGGCACATGTCTACCGTTAATGGCTCAGTCAGGCACATGGCTTCTGTTAATGGCTCAGTCAGGCACATGGCTACTGTTAATGGCTCAGTCAGGCACATGGCTACTGTTAATGGCTCAGTCAGGCACATGGCTACTGTTAATGGCTCATTTTATAGGTATGTGGTTGGGTTATTGCTTGGAATGGTTGTTTGAACTCTAACCCACAAGTTGTGTACTGTCATTATTATCTTTGAACACAATGACATCCAGCCTTCCAAGCGAAGGTTCAATATTTTTAGAACAACAACAGAAAAATTAATTACCAGCCTAATCTAATATATATATTGAATAATCACTGGATTAGGTAATTTGATTTGCTGACAATATAATGAATTATTGATCTATTAGGGACATTGAAATCATGTGTTATCATTATTGAATAGTCAACGCTATTCGAACACCTTTCAACAGTAAATGGTCGTATCTATCTATCTATCTATCTATCTATCTATCTATCTATCTATCTATCTATCTATCTATCTATCTATCTATCTATCTATCTATCTATCTATCTATCTATCTATCTATCTATCTATCTATCTATCT